TGTATCATCCCATTTGGAACCATGAGGACATGGATTTTGTAAAATCCATGATTTCTGGAAGTGACATTACTAAAATGCTATTGGAGGAAACAATACTGGAACAACCGTGTCAACTACAACAGTGACTACTGTCTTGGCTGAGAAACTGTGAGAACCTCAATACCTACAGGAATCTTAAGGGAACTGTTATGTGTGAATGCAACAATCAGGCTTCCCTGAGAGTGAGTCAAGTCTAAACCCAGGAAGACCCTTTTTTGGTTGCCGAAACAGAGGTGGATGTCCATTCTTTCAATGGGCAGATGTAGGGTTTACCAAAAAAAACGAAGAACTACAGAAACTCTTTAAACAATATGGCAAGTTTTGAAAACTTTTATTTTTTAACTGTAAATAGCCTTTTTTTTTAACAACGCTGTAAATAGCTTTCTTTTTTTCTTTTCAAACGTTTTTTTATTAACTAAAATGAGATAGTGGTCTTACAAAAAACACAAAATCTTTATCCAAGCCAGACTTTGGAATGGCATGTTTGAAATCCATGTAATAAGAATGGATTTTATTTAAATTACAAAGTAAACACTTCCATTCTTGAGTTGAATAAAAATGTTCAAACTTTTTAAAGTCAATCATGCAAAATGTTCTATACAATGTAAATCCAGTGTGTGGTTCACCATACAGATTCTCAGCCATTCTCTCGACGATATTATAAAAGCTCTTGGCTGACACCTTGTGATAATAGTAGTTCGTCATGTCCGGCCAGCGCGTCCAGTTTTCTTTGTCTGCCTGAATCTGGTAGACCAGTTTGATTGCCATCATGAGGTGTGTCCTTGTCTCGTAGTCGGCTGTAACCCGTGTACCCTGCATGACGCGACTGCTCTCTTCATCATACTCCTCGTTGAATGCGGCCACCTTGTCCATGGTGTAATCCGTACCCGCTTGGCACACCCTCCCACTGTTTCGGCCATTGTCTTTCAAAGGAGACAGATTTTTACACGGCGAGACATTTCCCACTCTTCTCCACGCAAACATTCTTACAATATTGACAAAAATCGACCTCGTACTTCAGGCAGGCAGAAATTAAAAACAATAGTGGTATAAACATAAGAATGAAGCAGCAAAGCCAAATCGCCATTGATTGGATAACGTGAATAGCCCCACCCTTATCTTCTATACTGCACCCTATAGCGCTTCCATATGGTATAACCCCTAGAGGGGATGGGGGGTACCCCCTATAATGTTTCCATTCAAGGTAAACATGATGGTGTGATAATGTTTCCATTTAAGGTAAATGACGATGTGATAAGACACGTGAATAGTTTATGGTATAAATACTCGACACCTGTCGATAGAATCCATCAGTTTTTCCAGTCATGGATCAACAACAAGATATCTCAGGTAGAGACCTATTACAGGCGGTAGAAGAACTTGAAGAACTTGAAAATGCAGGGCAGAGTGGTGGTGGTAGAAGAAGGAGAAGAACAAGAAATCGAGAAGGGTACTTTACCTTCAGCCGTACGCAGTTCAGAGAGAAGACAGCCAAGAGTTATGGCATCAAGCGCACCTTGTATCATTTACAGGTAGAGAATCCGAGAAACACATTCCCTGTTGGGCATGGTAACATCGTAAGAGCTTTTGAGGAAGGTCTTGCCAACAGCATAGAAGAATTAATTGATGGTTTGCCAAACCATGACAGAATCCAAATCTATCTTGGCAGTAGCCGCCTGCGTAATTCCCACACCTCAGTGCATGTTTCTGTTGAACAATGGCGTGACCCTTTGGGTGCTTCGAGGCAAGTACTTCAAAACATCTCCAATTTGTTGAACTCTAATGAAAGTTTTCAATTAGACAACACCTTGCAACACGATGTGACACACATCTCAATGCTGTCGCCCAGGAATGGATTACCCAAAGGAAAGCATAAAACATGTTTTGGTACAGACAACTATGGTGAATTCCTAAAGTCAAAAAGAAGTGTCGTGCGCATCATGAATGATGATGATCTTTGTTGTGCAAAAGCCATAGTGGTGGCTAAAGCCATGGCGGATAAAGATGAAAGGTTAAAACTCATAAAAGATTCAAGGATACGTTTGCAAGAAACTTTGGCGCGAAAGTTACAAGAAGAAGCGCGCGTTCCCCTAGGTCCTTGTGGCCTAGACCAAATAAGGCTATTTGAAATCATATTGAACGACTATCAATTTGTCATCCTATCAGCAGAACATGGACATGCTGTTGTTCACAAAGGTCCACCCAGTGAAAAACAATTCATGTTACTCATGCATGATGGGCATTTCGATGTGATCACTAAACTACCTGGTTTCTTTGATTCGAGTTACTTCTGCCTCGAGTGTGAAAAGGCCTATTCTTCGGAAACCTACAATCATCATTCCTGCCGTAAAACTAAATGTGAGGCTTGTCTTCAAAAAAATGTCATGACTACAACATCTTTAAACACACTGAAAATCCAGAACTGCCATGCAAAGAATGTAATAGAAAGTTTTACGGTGTGATGTGCCAATTGAATCATCTGACTCAGAAAGCCAATGGTCAATCGTTAGCGCCCTCAGAAAGGAATGTGTGTCAATCCCATAAAAAATGTCCCATTTGTCTGCATCTGTATACTTCTACATCACAAGAACATGTGAAACATTGTGAGCTTCAATATTGTCCAAATTGTTCGAAGGAAGTGAACATTTTACAGCACAAATGCTTCCTTCAGTCCATTGATGATGACAATGATAAGAAAAACATTATCTTTGTGTACTTTGACATTGAGGCGCATCAAGACACTGGAAACCATATTGCAAACCTATTATGTGCAGAAACAGATCAGAACAATCAACAATTCACCTTTAGAGGCGAACAATGTGTTGAGTCATTCCTTCAATGGGTTCATACCCTAGCTAATGGCGAAACTGTAGATAGAGTTATTGTGGTAGCCCACAATTTCAAAGGCTATGATGGTTATTTCATTTTGGAGGAACTTTACAAACAACATACAGGCAACTTGCAACAAATTGTCAATGGAGCCAAAATTCTAAGTTTGGAATTACCAAATGTCAAATTCGTCGATTCGATGAATTTCTTCCTCATGGCATTGGCAAACTTTCCCAAAACATTTCGACTGAATGAACTAAAGAAAGGCTTCTTCCCACATTTCTTCAACACGCAAGAGCATCAAATCTACAAGGGGTACATGCCAGATAGAAAGTATAACGACCCTGATGGTATGTCTCCAACACGCAAACAAGAATTCGAGTCATGGTACGATGAAAAAGTATCACAAAGATACATTTTTAATTTTCAAGACGAAATCCTAACCTACTGCCAATCTGATGTCAGACTCTTGAAGCAAGGATGCATGAAATTCCAGGTGCAATTCAAAGAAATTTGCGGGTTTAACCCGATGATAAATTGCATCACCATCGCATCGGCCTGTAATATGGCATACCGCAAAAATTGGATGTCAGAAAATCAAATTGCTATCCAACCTGTCCATGGCTGGTGCACCAACCATATTCAATCCCACAAGGCGTTAACATGGCTCTACTGGGAGGAAAAACAACTTACCAGATCCGACCTCCTTCCACGTATTGCCCATGTTATGAACAATGGTGAAAGAAAGTTAAAGGACGGAACCAAATCATTTCTGGTAGATGGATACAACGAGAAAACGTGTACCATCTACGAATTCCAGGGGTGTTTTTACCACGGCTGCATCACATGCTTTCCCAACCGTGGTATGAAACACCCCTACTATCAAAATAAAACAATGAGGGATGTTCGAGAAGAAACCAGAACGAAAATCGAACGCTTATCCCAGTTGGGATACCATGTAAAAGAAATGTGGGAATGCGAGTGGAACCAGGAGATACAAACAGAACCACGCATCAATGAATTTATTGAACGGTTAGACATTGTTACACCATTAAACCCCCATGAAGCCTTCTTTGGTGGGCGAACGAACGCCATCAAACTCCACCACAAAGTACAAGATGGTGAACAAATTAACTACAATGACATGATTTCCCTCTGCCCATGTGCTAATTTGGAATGCAATTACCCTGTTGGTCATCTGCAATTCATCGATCAACCCAGAACCACAGATGTCAGCAGGTACTATGGGTTGGTAAAATGTAACATTTTACCACCTTATGAACTCCATCATCCTGTTTTACCATACAGGATAGAATCAAAACTCGTTTTCCCATTGTGCAGAACCTGTGCGCAAGAACAGTTGAAACAACATCTAACCCAACGCAGCAAAAAGTATCCGCATTCCCCCCAGGAACGATCTCTGACTGGCACATGGACAACCCTCGAACTTGAGAAAGCAATTCAAAAAGGATATATTGTTACATACATCTATGAGGTGTGGCACTTTAAGGAAAAATCCAAAGAACTCTTTTCCCAATATATTAAAACGTTTATGAAGATCAAGCAGGAAGCCTCTGGTTGGTCAACAGAGTGCGACACTGATGAAAAGAAAACAAACTGTCTACAAGAATACAAAGATCATGAAGGTATTCACCTTGACCAGGTAAAAATGGAAAAGTATCCTGGTCTACGTTCCCTGGCCAAACTCATGCTGAATTCCTTCTGGGGGAAGTGTGGACAACGTCCCAACCAAACCCAGGTCACCACGTGCGCAAACCCTTTGCAATTCTTTCAGCTCATCACAGATGATAGAAAAGTCATTCACAGAATCGAGATTGTGAATGAACATATGATTGAAGTTTTTCACAATTTCCAAGAAGAAACCATTCCCGTACAAACAAACGTGAATATTTTTATTGCTTGTTTTACGACCAGCTACGCCCGTTTGAAACTGTATGATGCCTTAGACACTCTACAAGAAATATTATTATACATGCACACTGATTCAGTCATCTATATACAGAAGCCTGGTGAACCTTCTATCCCAACCGGAAATTATCTCAGACAGTACACCAACGAACTAGATGAAGGTGACCATATTGTGGAGTTCGTGGCGGCAGGGCCAAAGAATTATGCTTTCAATACCAAGCAGGGAAAGCAAACATGTAAAGTCAGGGGATTCACACTCAATGTGCGTGGTCAGAACATACTCCATTTTGCAAGTATGAAAGAATTGGTACTAAATGAATTACTAAGTGAAGAAGATGAGGAGGAATGTATATACACTCGACAATCCGCACAAAATTACCAGATGTGGCACGTCCAAAACCATAAAAACCATTTCCCAAAACAAGAAATATAAACTTGTTTTTTACAAACGCGTCATCAATGACACCTTTCAATCATTCCCATATGGATATAAATGCATCTCTACTGTGAAAAACTGATTCATTTGCGTATGGTAAAAGACGAAAATGAGTGTAGACCTTGAAATTCATTGTTGTAAATTTTACAACCAAGACATACAAGTACAGCATACTTATTTCCTCGTTATCCCTAGAGATGACACCATTTCCATTGAAGTACAATTAGATCAATCTGCAGAAATCAACGAAGAAACCATAAAACCTTGGACCAATCAACCTTGGTATCATCATTGCGTCGTTGAAAAATATCACATGACAGAACCCAAGAACAAATTACCCGTGTCCAAGAAAAATCCATTCAAAAAGTTGTGGACAAAGTGGGTAAAAAAAGGTGAAAACATTCGTTATCCACCATTAATGCTCTTTAATCATGAAGAGGAGTAACAGGAAAAAGAACCACAAAAGAGTGAAAAAACTAATCAAAAAACTTAAAGATGAATGTTGCCATGCCAAAAAACACTACGAAGAAAAAATCAACGCACTTGAAATGGAACTTTGGAACAAACAATACCATATTACGTCTATTTTGGGTTATCTAGCCAGCATTTCCTATAATCCATGGGACAGAGATGTATACAGAGGCTTCGCAAAAATGTGTGATGGTGAATTAAAAAAAACTTGTATTTTTCCATTTGTGTTTACACTGGGTTGAAACATCACTGGAATCCTTTCTCTTTGTATGAACTGCTTCATGGGGTCATTCGATTATGACATCGAAATGTTCATCGTGCATTGCTGATGGTGGGACCTTTATGGATAATGGAATGACCATGTTCGGCAGATACCACCATGAATTGGTAGTCGCTCAAGACTATTTCGATTAGTTTTAATATGGTCTAGGCCACAAGGATCAATCTTCCTCTGTCATTGTTCATGATTTGGAATTTTTTTAATCCCATTAAAAAAAAATTGGAATCAGAAAAAAAACAAATTCTCCTACATCTCATTCGACAAACGATCCAATTCATTCAACAAAAACCTTTTTTACAAATCAACAGGAAAAAAACCTTCCTCTTATTAAAGAAACAAGACACAGAAAATCTCACAAAAAAAAACAACGGGGAAAAAAACCGTGATTGTATTTCATCAAATCATTGAAAAAAAATCATCAAATGAATAAAAAAACAACCTCAAATCAGATAAGACATTGCACAACCTTCCTGCCCACAAGAATAGAAGCAACCACGTGCAAGAAAAAAACTGAATCAACAACAAACAAAATTCTCCTACAACTCATGCGACAAACGATCCAATTCATTCAACAAAAACCTTTTTTACAAATCAACAGGAAAAAAACCTTCCTCTTCTTAAAGAAACAAGACACAGAAAATCTCACAAAAAAAAACCGTGATTGTATTTCATCAAATCATTGAAAAAAAATCATCAAATGAATAAAAGAACAACCTCAAATCAGGTAAGACATTGCACAACCTTCCCACCCACAAGAACAGAAGCAACCACGTGCAAGAAAAAAACTGAATCAACAACAAAACAATCTCATAAAAGGACTCATCAAAAACAATTTTCTTCAATCAAACAAAACTTCTTTTAATACAAAATAACATTTTTTTTACAATGAATTTTAAAATAATAAAACGAAAATAAATAACGCCTCCATATGTAAAACAACGCTCTGAACGGCGCTTTGACATCAACTTCATTCCCTAAAAAAAAAACAAATTCGCACATTAAAAAAAATTTTTATTCACTAAAAAAAAAACGAAAAAATTCGCACAATAAAAATTTTTTTGGTTATGTCATCTTATCATAAAAATAAAATTTTACCTTCTTATTTCTCTTTACTTTGAAAGAGCATGCAAGGTAATGATTCATCTTGCGGTATGACGACTGGGTTTAACATATCTTCATCGAACACATCCATTTCACTTGCTAAAAAACAAAAAATTACACGTTTCATTATGTCATCTTATTGCAAACACACACATGTAAAAATATAATCTCATCTTACCCTCACAATGCCAGCTCCCCAGCTCCCGGCTATTTACTCGACAATCATGCCCAAATATTTCACTCTTACTTGCTTACTTTTTCCGTTTATTTCATTTATTATTTTACTGGCCGTGTGCCAATACTATAAAAAATTTTGTTTTTTCTGAGGAGGAGACAGTGATGAATTGGCCGCGCTCACAACAAACTGATAGTGTGAAATCCTCGGAAAAAATCCCGCGGTTGTCGGACAGTTAAATAATGAGTAAATGGCAAATGGCTGACGTGCGCTTGCAAACCGCTTTTGTCCCATTAAACTAGTGCTCAGGCGCCCACGCGGTTTTTGTGATGTCATCGGAATGGAATGCAAAAATACGCGATTCTGATTGGTCCATTTGTACCACGTGATCAAAATACTCGATTCTGATTGGTTACACGCTATACCGCCACTCTATTACTACTGGCTTTTTAAAGTGGCTCTTGACTTCATGTACCTCTTGCTCATCTTGATCAACAACGTTTTTCAACTGATTTTCAGTGAGCTCAGATGACTTGCAAATTTCAACCACTCGATTCAAATCCAGATCCTTATCTCTCGAAAGACGTTTCCTGACTACGTTACTTCAGATGCCACACACAATACAATCCCGTATTAACTAATTATTCAATTCTCCAAACTCACAGTTTCTTGGCAGCTTGCACAGTTCTGTGACAAAGGCGTCAATTCCTTTGATCGCTCCTTGCACCCTCCTGTTGAACAGATGTAGCTTGAAGTTCACGTTCTTTTTGGTGTAAAGTATTCCTCAAACTTGCTAATCACTACTTCTATCTTCACCCACTCTTCTTCACTGAAACCAAACGTATTGAAGATTTCCAATGCCTCTACTCCAGCAACTGCTAGGAAGGTAGAACACTGGTGTTGTCGTGGTTTCTTATCGAAGCCTGTTGCATTCAGATACAGCCGAAATTGCTGGAGCCATTTTCTCCAATTTTCTGCAACATTCCCTTTGAATGTTAGCAGCTTTGGTGGTGGAAGTTGGTTCATTTCATCCTTATCCTGAAACCATGTTATGTTCTCAAACTCACTCGTAAGCCTGTGAATGTAATCCAAGATGGCTGTTCTGTACAACAACTAATTTATTACGTCAACATGAGGAACTAGAAACAAAGGCTGGGAACCTGGTAACTAGCATATCATAACAGTTACCGCAACGGTCTATTTCTAGTGGATGCAGATGACTTCTTTGTAGCAGATGGTCTTTTCTTCACTGGGCTCTGCCGTGCCGTTTCTCTGCACCTTGACAAAGGATGGGTGTTGGTTGCACTGTCAAAGGGAGATGAAGTTCTTTGAGAGGAGCTTGGTGTGGACCTCATGGATGGCACATTCTCCTTGTTGTCCTGCACCTCAAACCTTCGCCTAGATCGTGGGCAACTTCTGGAAGTTCATGCCGTCTCCTTGTCTTCATCACTGCCCTCATCCCATAGGGACAAGCCTTTATTGACAGTACACTGCTTCTCCACCACTGTGTTTAGGATGTAATTTTTGATTTCCTTGGCAGAAAGATCATCTTTAAAGGTGTTGCCTGCTGTAGTCTGCTGGCATTTTCCTGCAAACTCCTTGGGATGATGCATGAGGGTACCTATGGCCATAATCTGGGCACAGATCATTAGCATTGGGCCAGCAGTGTTGAAAGTGTCTTGGATGTTCTGCTCCAGGTGTGGGTCTGCATGGATTGTTCTCAATGCATCTACTATGTCTTGTTTTGTGGTTGGCTCACTGGTCAATTTATCTTTGTTATCCAGAGGGCACTGAGAATCATGAAGAGGTTGCAAACAGGATGCCAGATCTTAAATGAACTCGTGAGTGTACATGGTACTGCTGAATTGCTCTATAACAGGAAGGTTATCCTTTACCGTCTGAGCCATTTCTGACATAGCATTGTTTGGCCTCCTCGACCACTCACACTTGAAGTCATGCAATCTGTTAAAAATGGCATAGTCAGAGAGGTTCTGAAGTGCAGGCCCATAGTTTAGCATAAAACCTCTCGGAAAGTGCCAGTTGTACTTGGAACTTGTTTCTTAAAGAGAAATGATTGAGAAAACATGCTGTAGAATCTGTTTGAAAGCTTAAAAACCTTCTAGACACTTAGATTTCATAAGATCTCGTGATTATGAAAAGAAAGGAAGAGAAAAATTTTCAATCAGACATTGATTTTAATGATTGGATCGCTGTCTTTTTACCTTTATCATAATTCTCCTGAAATCAAAATACCTTACTCTGCAATTGCCTATAAGCCCTTTTTTGGATTCTGGTCAGCTTCTGGTCAGGGGGGAAGGGGGGTTTGGAGGATACGATAAATTTTATCCCATCCCCCACAAGACTCTTTAATGTTCTTATGATCTCCCCCGCTCCGCCTCATTGGCAGTTAATCGGCAGTGAATTTGCTCTGATTCCCCTTTATGCTCTGTTGGCAATGACTGATCCCTCCGTTCCCCCTGAAAACTATGTGACCCCCTTAAATCCTCCAATACCGACCCTTCCCCCTCCCCCTCCCCCTCCCCCTCTCCTCAGGTGATAAATAAAAACTGGTCTCCTGTTCGAAATAACCTTATCAACTTATTTTGTGTTACAATAGGCCCAGGACTTACGACTTCATGACAAGGCTTGAACACATCTGATCTGATGATGCTGCACATCTTGTGAGCCCATGGTGCACCAACTGATTTCTTCGTTTATCTTGAGGTGTAACAAGTTGATTGAAATCGGGGTCAAACACGTCCATGTATTGCACATGCTCGTTGTTGATCTTCAAATCGTATCTGTCTGCATTCAACACCCATTCGAAATGAGAAAATTTCCCTTTCCCACTTTCATGTTTCCATCCTTCAAATCTCCTTCCTCGGTTGTACATATACCCTGCGCCATAGTTGTAGATATCTTTCATCACTTGGTACATTTGATTCGTGACTAAATTTATAAAACGCGACC